TAAAATTTAATGTCTCTGGCGTGTTTAGTGTTTGATTTATCGCGCTTTTAGTAGTTTTTAACAGTACCGTTATATGGGGAGTGGGCGGAGTTGCCACCCGATTTCAACTATTTTCACACCGTCAATAGAAGTGCTAAAAACATTTGCTTCCAGTGAATTTTGTTATTATAGCATTAGCGGTTTAGGATATATGCACATTAAACCTATTAGAGGCGGGACCACGCCCACTTTTAAAAAAAAACTGCACTTTGCATAAAAACTTTTAACTGCAGATGCCCCTCCCTAATGTGATCCTGTGTACCAAATAACAGTTTTGTATCTTAATGCGGAGCTTAGTTATGGCAATTTATTTGTTTTTGATTAATGGCATTTTGTGGGCGTGGCAGTGGTCCGATTACGCCCATCTGCAAATACCAACCGTCTCACGGTACCAAGAAACATGTCTACCAAGTTTCATAAAGATATCTCAATTTTTACTCAAGTTAGAGCTTGCACGGACAGACAGTCACCCGGATTTCAACTCGCCTCTTCATCCTGATCATTTATGTATACATAACCCTATATCTAACTCGATTAGTTTTAGGTGATACAAACAACCGTTAGGTGAACAACACTATTATACTCTGTAGCAACAGGTTGCGAGAGTATAAAAACAAATAGAACTCTGATAAAATACTTGAGTTTAGGTAGAAATAAATCATGTGAACTACGAGAGAAGTTGCTTCTCAAAACCAGCGAGTAACTAGAATTTTCGTTAGTTTATATAACTGTCATTAGCCGAACAATATTCAGGATCATTAAGGTGCATATAACAATCTGACGCGGACTCAGCTTTTTATGTGATTGATATCGTATCATCCTCTTACAACCAAACCCAAATATTGAATCACGAAACACAACTATCCAGAGTGCTGTAAAATTCTTAAAGAAGATGAGTGAGCCGAAGAACATTTTGGTGAAGTAGAAATGTGAAGAAATATAATATAATATATGTATAAAATAACTATGATTTAATAAAATTGAATTTCAAAATCGTGTGTCTCTTTCGAAAGCGTTTCTAATTTTGTACATAATTAAAACGTGATTGCGTAGGCTAAGTATAGAGTATAGACTCAATACCTCCTCCCACTCAATCAATGATTGAGTGCGATTGTGTATGGTGAATTATCTAAATTACACTTTCGATCTTAACACGGCGGTTCTCACTAGCAATTAGTACCTCGATTCATTAAAAAAAAATAACATAAGCTTAATTGCATTTAGTAATGTGGGTAATTTACAGCTTTTAGCAATAGATACATAATAATACAAAGTGAGTCACTTGTTGATATTCGTGCAAGCGTTGGGGTATTTCTACAGCAAGTTTGTTTGATTACAATGTAATTGCAGAAAAAAGATAAAAAGAACAACGAAAAGTAACTGTTGAGCCTTTAAAAGGCAACAAATCTTTTATTTTCATTTGAACACAATTAGCCGCAGATTCTATTGTTTAAGTTTTACTCTAGCTAGTTTTTTAGCGAAGTGTCTCGTATTTTTTAGATTTATCGCCGACAAGTGGCAAAACAAATTGTCAACCTTATCAGACACTTAGGCACTTTGGCAAATAAAACAAGTGCATAAAAAACAAAAATATATGCAAGTACGTGATATCAAATATATTATACCCCATATATTACTAGAAATAATATAAAATCCCGAAAATTTCGGATTTAAAAAATCCGATATAATGCGAGCTTGACATCACTACATTTTTGTGTAAGATTAAAATCATCATATTGAGATTATATAATCACTAATATAAATGTCTATATTCACAAGTTTGAAATGGGGCTTGGTAACTTTTAAAAAATCCCGAATGCTTTTTAGTCCCGAAAATTTCGGGATTCATGGCATATAAATATTATTTTGGTTATAATATAAAGTTTATATTACATAAATATTATTATTGACAACAACACACAATTTTCGGGATTTACAATGCTTTGTAAAATATAGCATATAAAAATAGAAATGGAAGGTTGCTAAATATGCGTCATATATACTCGCGCATATATTGATTTCTTAAAATTCTCTAATATAATTTTGAGGCTAAGCTATCAAACTATACTACAGGAGTTTTTCGTATGGCTTCACAAAGCACTGTTCAGAACAGTCTAAGTGTGACTCTACGTCTTGCTGAGCGATCAGCCATCTAACCTAACGTTATATATGTGTTTGTATTAATTCTGCAATTTGAAATAATATTTGTAAAATTTACGACTTAAGAGAGTAAATAGAGCTGCGAAAGCAAAATTTATAATTATTTTGCCTTTTTGTAAGTGCTTTATGAAATTTCGGAATATTTGTCCCGAAAATTTCGGGATTATACAATTAAAATAAAAACGCATTGAGTTAAAAAATTATCTTAAATAATAATAAAATATAAACCCTACTAATGAGAAATTAAAAATAAAATAAATGTACTTATGTATAAAAGTTTTCAATCTTTATTACAATAATTATTTTTGCGGCTCATATCACGAACATACTTTGACTTTTCCGTTTTTAGAAACGATTAATCAAGGTATTCCAAAAGATTTGTCACAATATGTTTTCAGCATTTTGTTTGAGTTTTATATGTTCGCCTTGTTTTCTTTATCGGTTGCCATTATCGCTGATTTTTTTCATATTTTTTCGCGTTCGAATCAGTTGAGTACAGAGTGAGTTTGCGGCTTGACTATAATATACTGATATATACATATATCGACTTGTATTTTTGTTGAATTTATTATCAACATTGCAAATCAAATGTGTTCAAGTTTTTTGGGAGCTTAAAAATTGATTCCGCTTCAAGTAGCTAAAGTGATAATAGGAAGAAATTATAATTTAACGCAATAACTATTATATTGAAATGCAAACAATTTTAAATAATATTTTATTGTATAGTATAATGTATACAAGGTTTGTTCAAAAATTATCGCGAATTTTGTGTTCCTAAAGAGAGTGTTTATTTATTCATGAATATCTACCATAATTTGTCCCCTTCAAAATAATCCCCCCTATGGTAGATATAATGCACTTACGCTATTACGTAAGTAGTTTTCGATGAAGATGCGATACATGTAGCACGCGCAAATTCAAAAGTTGCGATACATTTTGAACAAACCTCGTTTTTGGCCGAAAAACAACACATTAATGGTGCCGCAGCCACCATATTCCCCAAGCCTAGTGCTCCGTCACTTTTTTGTTCCCAAAACTGAAGAGGCCCATAAAAGTACGACGAGACGCTACGACTGAAGATTGGAAACAACGCTGGCATAAGAGCATTATATCTACCGTTGATTACTTTGAAGGGCACAAACTAGATATTGATGAAAAAATAAACACTTTCTTAAGAAATACAAAATTCGCGACACTTTTTAAACAAACCTCGTATGCAAATAATTTTGCAGTAAATTTGAATTTATAACTCAACCTTTTATTTTTTTACGAGTAATAAGGATAACAAGTATTCGATAAATATATAAAAAGTACCGTTTTCGGTGTTTAGATGTTTATAGTCGCGATAATGTTTCAGTGGCATACAAGGTACTTATCAGATTGGAGCTAAAGCGGAATAGCTATAGCAATGACTATTTAATGTGATTCTCCTCAAGCTCGTGAGAGAATAAATAATGAATTGTATTGTGTAGCATACATAGAAAAAGATGAAATGTTTACATTGGATGAATCTCTCCTAAATAGGGATATATTTGTGTAACTAAACTGGTATAGTTGGGCATAATCATTCCTTAAAGTGATTTAAAAGAATTTGATATAGAAGCGCAGTTGTTTTCTGCAAGTTTTGTGAAAAGGAGAGTTGAGTCTTTTTTGGAGTTAAGTTAGGCAATCATCGTTATATTTTTAAACTATACATCGAAATCCAGTAATATACTTGTATCCATAAGTAAAAATTGTTTAATTTATAAATAAACTTGGAACGAGTTTACTGCAATCTGAAGCTTCGCCAGAACTAATAAAGTACAGTTACACGAGGTTCGTGGTTTTATTAAAAATACAACTCACCCAAACTTAACTGTTATTAAGTAAGTTATTTCCGATAAATTTTTAAATTAGTGTTGTTAGCTTTAAAAATAAACATATTTCAGTTTGCAGCAAGTATGCAAGTCTCAGGGCTCTTTCTTGAAGGTGATCACTGGGTTATTGAAGAGATTTGGTTTTGGATCTAAATCCAGAATGTTCACTTGAACAAGAACAATATGGAATGACAATTGATATCGTCAAGAGTGAATTTCTCTAAAAATTATCAGCTACCGTTATAATAACTCTCATTATAATAACTCGCTCTAATTGAAAAATAATATCAGAAAAAGCTCACCCAACTATACCGCCAGCTAAATTTACTCAAGCGTAACTATTTTAATCGCTTCACGGTTATTATCAGCGTAAATGTTATTAGAATTAACTGTACAAAAAGGGCTTGAATGCATAAAGCTCTACGAGCACTATACTAAGTTATATGGCGTAGCTATGTGCGCTTAATTAGGGACTATACTCGTGCCTCGGGCGGGATGATGTGATGTTTGGAAAGCGTTAAACACATAATACTAAATATGGTATTTTATATCATTTTCTATATAATTTGGTACCAAAGTGTATTAACGAGTGAAGTACAAATATTTTTGTATGCAAATGTGCACCCATACTTGCATACAAACAGATAGACAGACAGACATTGAGTAAAGCACGAGCGTAATTTTCTTTTAAGGCGGAACAATGACAACAAATGCGAAAATAATACGATGCCCTATTATTTATACGGAAAATAAACAAAACAAAATTAAAAAAAATATAAAATTAAATAGAGAGATATCAATAAAAACGAAAATGCTACAATGAAAACGGTAAAGGTCATATATAAATAAGTATAAAGCAAAGTGATGATCTATTATGAGCAGCACAACAACAAAACCAACGATTCTGTAGAATTTGCAAATAATATTGTTTCATTATTCATTATTTTTTTTTTGTTTCGGAAAACACAAAGCAAAAACAAATCATTTTTAATAAAATATCATTGAAATGGAACATACAACACAATTACATATTTAGAGCGAGCACACACATTGAGCAGATCAGCGAAATTATAGCAAATTTTTGCACGAAATATTTGATTGCATTAATGAGATCAGTCAAAAGGCGAGTGTTGGCGAATACGGAGCAAATTGCTAAAATCGAATAAAAATTCAACAACACACACAGTTGTTAAGGGATGCGAAATAAGGCCGCTTAGCGTCGCGCAAAACAAACTTTTTTTGCGGAAAATATATATACAAAGAACTAAAACAAAACATATAACAAAATATCACGTAAATTACAAGCGCCGCTGCTCGAAACATGCTTTTGCAACGCGAATTTGCGCATACGCTTTTATTTTTGGCACTTTGCCTACTCGCGTCGAGTGCCGCACAAAGCGAGGAAAATGTAGACACAAACTTCGACTCCGGCACAGCTGAAGACAACTTGGAGCTGAGCTTGCAATCGTTCGAGTTGGATGATAATACGCCCACCAACGCTGCTGAGGCGACGACTACAATAAGAACCACACAATTCCCGAATAATTTTGAAAACACAAACAATTTTGAAGATACGCGACCGCAACTACGTAACATCGAGAGTATGGACGAGAACTGTCTCGAGAGATATTGCTACAATTTTCACTATGAACGGCTGGATGAAGTGGCCTTCTTTGATATTAAAACCGAGGTACATATCAATAAAGAGGATACCACCTATGATATTGTGAATGCGCGCAACTACGATACGCTGATCTTTGAGAATACGACATTCGCACGCTTTCCGCTAAACCTCTTCTATGCGGTGAGCGTTAAAGAGTTGGATATGCGTAATTGCTCAATACAAGTACTGACGTGGGAGTCTTTTCTTATGGCACAAAATTTACGCATTCTATTGCTCTCCAACAATCGCCTGCAAGTGATCACCGATAGCACTTTCAAATACGCGAGCGATCTACAATATCTCTTCCTCGATACGAATCGCTTGATACAATTGGATAGCGATAGTTTTGATGGTTTGACAGAGTTGCGTTATTTGGATTTGAGTAATAATCGCCTAACACAACTACCAAAGGGGCTGTTAGATGATTTGAACGCGTTGGAGGAGTTACGTTTGGATAACAATCGCTTACGCACGCTAAACAATCAACTCTTCACCAATAATTTGAATGTATTGATACTCACGCTAAGCGATAATCGGCTCGAGCATATTGATGAGCACACGTTTCGACGTCAGTCAAAATTTATTATTTTGGATATTGGAAATAATCGCGAATTACGCACACTCGTATTGATGTTGCAATTGCAGAATTTGAACGCCGCCAATTGTACGCTCACACGTGTCAACATTTACGGTTATGTACGCAACGTCGATTTCAGCTACAATCGCATACAAGAGCTGTACTTTGCACAGCCGGAACAACTAAAAACGTTGACACTGCGTAACAATTCGTTGCAACAGGTTGCCTCGCTGTCGCGCGCCAACGAGCTGCAAGTACTCGATTTAAGCGACAATCCACAATTGATCACACTGCCCACACCATGGTTGGCGAACTCGTTGAAACGTTTGAATCTTGGCAATACGGGCTTGCAGCAATTGCCCGTCGAGGCGATAGCCGCGCAGACGCAATTGAACTTTCTCAATGTTTCTTACAATCAGCTGCGCGAGATCAATCCGCAAAACTTCAAGTATTTGGAGAACTTGCAGCATTTCGATATACGCGGCAATGATTGGAACTGCTACAATTTGAATATACTTATGGATATGCAGCTAAAGCCGCACAGCATAGCTTACGGTCATGATGTGATGGACAGCGAATTTCCGGGTGAATATATCAACGATATAGCGTGTATGTATCGCATAGAGGATGTGGAAGACAACGACACAAGTAATGATCGGCCTAGCAGTAGTGCAAATATTGTGGATGAACTAGAACAGCTGCAAAACTATCCGCAAGGAGAGGTGGAGAGCTTACGTAGGGAGCTTAAAGCTATTGTGGGCATATATGAACAAAAATTCGATCGTGTTTATCAGCTGATCGAGAACTTGGATACGCGCTTGCGCGCTTTTGAGAACATGAATGCTACGCTCTTCCAACATGTTACAATAACGGTTTAAATATTCCTCACAATGGTAATTATTTCAAGATAAATTATATGACCTTGCTTTCAAAGCCACTTTTTCTCAATAAATTTCTAAAAATATTTGTTTATATGTATAAATAAAAATTAAATGTATTGCTTCGAATAAATATAAACTATATATTCAAAGTTTAACATACAAAAATTCTTCTAAATCAATTTGTTGTGTTCTTAGATAAATCGGTTGACACGATTTTTTTATCGAATTTCCGGTGCATTATGATCTAAAAATGCAACACTGCTGATGACAGCTGACACCTACCATCTGTCAACAGGCTACTGCATGCGTGCTTGACAGTCATTAAAAGCCATAAATGTCACAAATTGTGTAGTGAAATTAAATTAAATGCAACAGAGGATTTAGGCACCCTAAGAATTGAATGCGTGGAGTATCAAAAATACAATAAAAAATTAAAAAAACGTTCATTGATTTGAGGTAGCTCGACATTTTTCTATTTTTTTTTTTGAGTTTTAGTAACCGTGTTCGAAAAATTTTAGTTTTGGAAACTTTCTCATGTAAAATTTTCACCGACGAAAGTTACGACGACATATTTTTAGAATATTAGCAGTATTATTCATTAGATTTATTCTCTGATCATACAGTTAAGTATAATTATTAAAGTTTACAGCAAAATTCTCTGGAAAATAGTTATAGTAATAGTGTTATCAGTGAAGAGATAATGCACTTACATATAAGCTTTACAATGTATCATATGTATATGGGTTTTATATAGCTTAGTAGAGCGTAAGAGTTTAGTTCAAGAAAATACAATATCATCTCGAATCTAGCATTTAATCAGGAATGCATATCATTCAGGAAAAAATAAACAAAGTTCTAATATGATATGTGTTTACTTTTTGATTGAAACACGTTTTTGAAATGAACTAATCGATTTGCGAAATATATTCGATGACAACATGTCATTTTCTGAAAATCGCTTCATAAGAAAATTAATAAATTTAATTAATTATTTTTTTACGCGACTTACATATTTTTTAAAAGTTTTAAAAACTTTTCAAGACATTTTAAAATATTTTAAATTATGATTTGTAGTAAAAAACGTAAAAAACAACTTTGCTTGTGTAAAATATTTTGATAATAATTTAAAATTTAAAGTTATAACAAAAACACTTGAATCTACACACAGGGTTGCAAAATATTTATTAAAAAATAATTGAATTAATATTTGAACTATCATTTTTTTTAAATTTGTAATCCCAAATACTGGATTAAAAATTAAAAAAAAAACTTTTTAAGGGGGTATTCTGGTTTAGAAATTTTAAAAAAGCATATTCTTGTAGTATAACTCTTTAAGAATATGTCCCTAAAATTATATTTATATTTTTAAAAAATTCAGAACGGCAAAAAACAGGGAAATAACGTACATTCTTCCTCTTTAAGGATCACTGAACAATTTCCCTTTCGGGTTATTGGGAGTCCTGATATCCTGTACACCAGGACACACAAGTTTTTCACTTTGCCGGCCTGGAATTTATTGAATTTTTTTTAAATATTATATCCAAACATTGGAATTAAAAAATAAAAAATTTAATTTTCCGATTTCAAAATGTTTGTATCAAAACATTCGCAACGCTGACCACACCACACAATTTACGAGCGATAAAGAACCAGAACAAGAGATCAAATATGTTTTTGGGTATGAGCGATAATTATCGAATCTTAACGATTATTGTGTAAAAAAACGAAATAACGAAAATTTACGTATCGAAAATAATTTCATAAACAAAAAGTAAAAAAAAAAATAAAATTCTAAAAATAGAGGTCAAGGATCTCTGAAAAATATAGAGCATTACTTGAAAATCAGTTTTTTGTTTCCAAAAACAACTAAGTAGGTAAAACAAAAGTTTTCAAAAACTAATATACACAATTCATTGCCCATCAACGGAAGTTGTAAGCACTCATAATGATGTATAATTTTTTGATTTATATGGACTACATATGACATTTTAATCTCCATATATATACATTTTTTTTGTTTTTGCAATTTCGCATATTTATGTCTGCGCATATTATTAGGATAACAAAGAGAAAAAAAAAAACAAAATTGGTCATAAAAGATTAAAAACCATGCATGACGCTTGTAGAATCATTTATCATACAAATATGACAAATTTAAGTGATTTTTACGAATTTACGTTCGCGCACCTATTTTAAGTAGAAGCAAACTTTTTTTGGTTGTCAAAAAGTGGCCATTTTTTTGAAATATTTTTATTGTGAATAAGTGGGTAGTGGCGTATGAAAATTTATAAAAAATAAAAACACACTTATTATGGTACAAACAGTGTACTATGAAGAATACAAGTACTCGTATATATGCGATTTGAACAAGTATTGACAGCCGAAAGTGATTCGAATATTTGCTTGAATTTTTGTTAAAAATACTATAATATGCTAGATACTATATACTTATTGAATGTTCAATATTTGAAATGAAGCATCATAGAAAATTTTATTGAATGAGCTCAAGTTTTGAGATCTTAAAGGATTTATCGTGTGTATAAAATCAGCAAAGGTATTCTGATATCAAAAACTGAGACATCATCAGCAATAAACATAAATTTGTTAACGATGCTATCATTAAAAAAACGAAGGAAATTTGTTCGACAGTCATTTAGATAGAGTAAAAGCGATAACAGTGGCACTCACCAATTCTCTTGAAGAAATTTGAGTTAATGTTTAGGGTATAAAGTTTAACGTTACCAGCTGTCAAAAATCATCTCTTGCTTAGTTGATAGAATTCACTCCAACATTTTTCTAATTTTAATTTCAATATTTGTTTCATCATAAGACGATTGATAAAGCCCGTATCTTCCTAAAATGTTTTTTATTATGTATACTGGAAAAATACTAATAGGGAAGCAATTAAAGATTACTTAAATGAGAAAATTGCTCAACTTCATCTAAACAATATGTGAATATAAATGATCAAATACAATTATTAATTATTTATGAGTTACAGTTATTATAACAGTACGTTTAGTTGTTAAAAAATTGAACAAGTTTTTATATGAACGCATATATAAGGCGGCCTGCTAAACAGTAGGGTGGAGCGAAAAAATAAATAATTTTTTTTGCTTAACCTGAGGGCAAAATCTGTAGTATAAAAAAATAAAAATTTTTGGAAAAACCAAAAAAATTTTAACATCTAGAGGTTCAGTCCCACTCAGTTTTAAAGTAAATTTCGAGTTAAAATATTTTTTGGACTAGAAAAAATTATTTTTGGCTTGAACTCTTTACCTTTATATAAAAATTACCGAATGTGACGGGTTTTGACTCAAAATTTATTTTAACGCTTAAGGAAAGCATGTTGTCGCTAAGACTTTTGTTTTAAAACTCCAATAATGACCACAAAATTTTTTTTAAGTTGATAACATTTAATTGACAGAAAGAGGACTCTCCACGGCTTCTAGAACAAGTAAATGGTAAAAAAAAAATTTTTCCAAAATTTTCTTTTTTCATAGTCTACAGATTTTACCTTCAGGCTAAGGAAACAAAAAAATTTCCACCCTACTGTTTAGCAGGCCACCCTAAACAGTCTTACGCTCGATTTAAAATAATGCAATTACGCTCTCGCCTCACCTTCTACATTTCAGTTTAACAATTTCTTTGTGTTCTAAGTTTTTTATTTTCCGAACTATTTCTACTTAATGAAAATATGAGCAGTTTTACAATATATTTTATCAATTCAATTACGGAAATGCCAATTAAGCCAGCAAACGTCAGTGTAAAACAAAAAATATTTCCGCCCGCTTTGTATTTGATAAGCATCAATTAGTTTAAATTATTCGAAAACAATAACTATAATTGGAAAATAAAATAATAATACACGAGTAAAATCAAGAGGTTGTTGTGCACTATCGAGCGTTAATTAACTGTTGACGGTGCGCCGACGTGCGTTTTGAAGAAGTAAAACGTATATTTTTAAATACATACATATATAACGGGCGATATTCTAGTATTGACTGCATTGAGTTGTAGACAGAATCCCATGAGAGCAAGTCTTCTGCATTTTAATGTTAAAACTGATCTTAAAGAAGAAAAATCTTTTGAATTGACATATACGACCGGCACTCAGAGACACTAGGTGATATCAAACAACTGATTTGGGCGCTTTCAATGCCTGCAAAATTTATTTACAACGGTTTTTGTATTTTTCTTTTCATCATTAAGCGATTTATTGGTTTACGAGTAGTAAGAGTAGTCATGTGATCGCTTCTACCTTTCTTTTATACCCTAAACAGATCACTATAGCATACCGTTACCATATAAGCTGATCGTTTAAAATCAAGTCCTTGTATGAAAAACGTTTTTATTTAACGAGATATCTTCTATGTACCACAAAAGTACATGTGTAGCATAAAGTTTAGCAATTCAGCTGTATTTGTTTTCTGGCGCTTTCATATCTCAATATAGAACTTTGAGATTGCTTGAGAGTGAAGTAAACATTTGAATAACTAATTTACATATGCTTTATTTAATAATACTTTCAATGATTTTGCATATACATACATATATGTGTATTGCTCTTTGCTTTTGTAATACAAATACATTAGACAAGGCTGGAAATGCACATAACACATCCATATGAAGTCACATGTTTGTTAGTTTAAAAAAAGTTTGTACAATTTTGAAATAAATTTGCTCGTTGCAGGCAAACTGACTTCACATTTTATGCTACATTTGCACATACGTCACCACATATTATATAAATATAAATGCTTATGTATATAACGAAAAGAATTAAAAATCGAATATGCTAGAAATATTGATTTATTAAGTCATTTACACTACATTTTCACTAAGTTGGTGGATTAGTAAAGAACTATATTAAGTAAATATGTATGTACATATGCACATATGTGTAGTCAGTTTCAAAATAATTATTTATCTTAAGACCACTCTGCCCATAATACAATACAGCACAAAGATCCCCTTGCATACATTTGCTTCATCATACAAATTTTACATCTGTATGAAGAAAGGTGAAATTTCAAATGGCAGCTGGGAATCCCGTTAGTGACACTTACATACATATGTACATATGTATATAAAATTTATAGAAAGTCATAAAAAGATTAATTATTCGTAACATACATATAATTAAAATTCCTCAATAATATTTAAAGTTGAGTTGCAAAAACAACAGATTTCCAATTCGGAAATGGAGTGCTGTAATAAACATGAAAAATAGTAGGCTATGCAAACTTATTTCAATTCGAAATCTGAGAAAAAATTATTATGAATTATTATCGTTGCGTTTTATACATACATACATATGTATGTATTTATTTATATATGAAAATCATTTAGAAAGAAGTTGGATTATATTTGTAGCCTTGTGCAGCTATTATACTTGTATTAGCTTTATAAATATAATATATAAAACAAATCCGTAACTTGGCAAAAAATGCAAAAACTGTGTTTCAAATTATATAGATAAATTATTAGCTTAATGCTGACTCAATTCAACTGCCTACGTGCCTTGAAAAGCTCACACTAATTGTGGTTTCAGCCTTTAAAATACTTACAAAAAATATTTACAAACTATTAAATTGTGCAACGACAGCACTTATGGTATACATCAGCCTTCGAAATGAGTACCTTACGAAATTTTTCCTATATTAAAGTTGTGATCATTATTTACTTGTAGGTAAAAAAAATGAAAGCTTTTACGGAGAATGATCTAACTTAACGTAACCATATTAGTCTGTATATTCGTTTATTTTTTTGAACGTAAATTCATGCCTGAAAACGATTTGATGATATTAAGAGATGCTCCCTGAAATTGGGTATTAGAGAAGTTTTTTGTTGTACCCATCATATCAAATAGTGGAAAAAAGTTATTTTTTATGCCATTTAAAAAGCGTTTCATTGTATTGATTTGTGCAGACACACAATCAAAGCGTGATGATTGATTATTTTTCATCACCCTGTAAACTGTTTGTTAACGCAGCAAACTCTAGAAACTCGAAAAATATTTATATTATGAAAATCACCACATTAGGTAGCTGACAATTTTAACTAACCAAAATCAAAATGCAATATCCACGCATTCACTTTTTCTCCGCACAGTAATTTTAGATAAATATCAAAGTATTTTTGTGATAAGATAAGTAATTTCAACATGAAACAAATTAACAACAAGTCATATCAACAGAATCGAAGAGTAGCACATTTTGCGTTAGATAAATAATAAAAAATTTGATAAATAAATATTGTATGTATAAAAAAGAATTCCTCTTGCATACGCACCTATTTTTGTGTATTTATGTATGTGTGCATAAAATAAAGGGTGTATTTGTTCCGATATTGAAAGCAATCAAGCGCTGATGTGGTAAGACGGCAATACGAAGCACAAAAACAATTGTAGACGAAAATAAATTGATATTTATGTACAAGTATGTATGTATGTACGTATGTTTGTATATAAAATGCACAATGCAACACAATAACAAAGAAATCGAAAATATATATGCATGTAGCTTTCAGACGTTAACGCACACACGCACAAACACAGAGGAAAATGTAGCGCGGAAAATTGTGGGAGCGTGTCAATAAATTGCGTAAATAATTTTACCCCGAGTGGCACGTTTTTCAGGCATTTCACTACAGGGATACTGTGGAAATTTGGATTTTTTCGTTGCTCGCGTTTGAAAACCAAGCAGTGATAGCTTAGTTTTTATGCTTAAATATATTTAGCGGTAGTATATACATTTATTTTTTTGACTTCACGAACTTTTTAACAATTTTTCTTTTAAACACAAGTTCAAACTTGTTTATAATTTTTTTATAATATTTTTTTCAAGCAACTTTCAAACATTTGCAATTATTATTATTTTTTTATTCTGTACAATAATTGTTATTTTCTGTTTTCTGCACTTGCTTTTCAACAAGCTGGCACTTCGCTTTCACAGTGACGATTAGTTAACAGCATTTTTTTTCACTTACTTTAAACCTTTTTATTTTATTTTGCTACGGTTTTGCACGTCGAACGTGGTATTATTTTACACACAATTCACACCTAGGGTTACACTGAAACAAAATATGCGCTGTTTGCTTGTATTTTTTTGCAATTATTTTCAAGCTTCGTATATTTTCGTATTAATTCCAAACATGTATCGCTTTTTTATCGCCATTCGTACTTTTATAAATGAACTGCAAAATGGAATTTTAAATTTTTAAAAAATGTAGAGTGAACAATTTTTGTACTACAATCTGACTTATTTATCAGTGTTGCCAATGGAACTTGGTGGCCGATGTGGAGTAGGGCAAAAATCACACATATAAATTTCACAAATCAGCTTAGCAAAATATAATATTATATTTCTTCAACATACTAAGGAGGTTATTATATCTTATCAGCAACAGTGCGCGACCGGGTAGCGCACAAATATCATGTAAACAAAGCGCTAGTGAACGAGAGAGAAAGCATGTGTACGTATAGCTACGCAGAGCATGACGCTTGCGTGGAAAATTTGTAAAAGGCTTTGCGCAGCACACGCAATAATGAATAGAATAAACGGAAAGAAAAGAAAAACAAAATTATGCTAAAAACAACACAACAAAATAATACACAAGAACACACAAAGAGCAAAGCAAAGGTGAGTGAGTTCCATATACATACCATACATATGTATGTATGTTTATATATAGGTGCATATGTATGTATATGAACAATGACTAGCCGATAGTGACGTCGTCGTAATGATCTGGGAAGTCAGGGAACACGATATTTCGTTTCATTTCAAATTTCATTTGACTTTGTTTCATTTTACTCTACTTTTATAATTGTTTTATTTGCTCTCTCAGATAAAAATGCGCCGTGCGACGCAAATTCCATGCACGTTTGTGCAATATTTCGATTTATTATGCATATGTATGTATATATTTAGTATGTATACTTTTTATATATTTTGTGATAATTTCACCACTTCGTAACTCCTGCCGTTGTCACAATGCTGCATTTCCTTTCTTTTGTTTAACCAAAGAGGTTCATATTTTTAACTTTTGTTTATATTGTTACAACACTCACTAATATATACAAAATGCACTCATACATACATATATTATATGTATCATACTTTATGCCTCCATTTTAGTTAATTTGTTTTGATTTTTTCTATTGAACAATTATTTTATTTTGCATACACACATAAACAAATTTGTTTTTTAATTCACGCACTTATTTTATTTGTTTATTTCGCTTTATATGTTCGTCCAATTTTTTCAAGTGGGCCTATTAATACAGCATTCGTTCGTTAGACGGCTGAGCTGATTGTTATGTAGGCCGCTTGGACGGTGGGGTGATGACGTCGAGCCACCACTGACACAGCTGTTTGCTGTTAATGGCTTCAATTTCTTTTGAAAATTTTTTATTTTTTTTTTATTTTTCAAGTGCTTGCTAAACTGCTTGTTTTGCGACGTTTAATAGTTATATTTTTAATATTTTAAAGTTTATTTCTAGTATTGAGTAGTTTTAAAATATTTATATTTTTCATACAATATATTACTATATAAATAAATAATTTTACAGAGGAAATAATAAATTTACCAGTTATTTACCACAAAACTCGCTATGAAAATTAGATTTATATTATGTAAATATAATCTATGTATTTACATATGTACATGTGTACATACATATATTTTATTTTATTGTGATCTTTAATATTTACTAGCAGGACAAGAAACAGATATCGAGTTTTAAAACTGGCCAGCCTGGTTTTTAAGCCTTAATATTTTTTTCTAAAACCTAATTAATTATTGTAATTGCTTTTTTTCATGTTCAATTTGGACAAATTTTCTTTATTTTTACATGTTTTGTACTTATTTTCCAGTAACCAGGTTTGATTATTATTTTATTGACTTCACTTATAAACGTTCAAAATCTCAGGAATAAAATATGTGTATACAAAGCCTATAAGAACGCATTACAAATACTTTTTTTCATAAATTTAACCAGTTTCACAATTCAGTTAAATTAATATTTATTCGATGAATATAACAGATATTTAAAGTTTTTTATAACATAATCAGAAAGTGGTATCTACACCAACGGAACGGAGTCGGATTTACAACCTGCTAAGGACTTTCACCCCATCATTATTTTGGGAAACAGTTGAGAAAATATTTATACCAAATAAATTTTTTTTGCGGAGTGTGAATCAAATATCAGACTTAATTTATTCAGATATGTACTATGCATAATACTGTATTATCTTTATATTAATTAATTATATATTATTTATTTTAGATTTATTTACAGCTAGATTTTAAAATTTTCTAATTTTATATAATTAAATTTTTGAATTTTTAACTCAAAATTTTTTTTTATTATTTTCTTGCAAATATTGTTAAAAGTTTATTATGATTATATATGTTTTTTTTTGTAGTTTTATTCAATTACAAAAATATTAACTTTAGTCTCTTTTATATGTGTTTTGTGTACCATACACATGTTTTGTTCGTTATATACATAGATATATACATATGTAAGGCAAAATTGTAAGCCGAATAAGTTCGGAAAAAAAGTCGAAGGAATTAGAAAAACTTTTTCTAAGCGAATATATCGTGTTAGGGTTAGCCCAATGAACACTGAAATAATATAATATAACTATTGGCATTGTTAACGAATGCCTACTCTCTTATTATTTCATTATCAAATTGTCCCTTTCACCTAATTTACTCAGACAAGCGCTTAGTCTTAACCACTTTTAGTTTAATGGTAAATCAAAAGTTATTATATTTATATATATTTTGAAGTGCTTTCATTTAAATGCAAAGAAATAAACTCATCACTCGCTGCTGATATTACAAATATTTTTTATAATTTAAACTCATTTAAACCGCAAAACTATGCCGGCTGTTAATTCGTATACAGTTTAAGTTGATTTTTTTCGATAGTTTGTATAATTTTATTTAGATTTTTGCCGCTCTCTCCTGCTCCAACTTCCATTGGCATACATGCACTCGTGCATTAAGTACTTTTATATCGAGTTTTACATATTTTAGTGGTGCTCTTTCTCTAATTTCTCATACAATTTATTTTACATACTTCGTTATGCTTCACTTTTGCTTTCGCACACGCTTGGAAATCACGAAAAATTGATCAAACGTTCGTTAAAAACACTTCACAATGAATTAGAAGATATTCAATTACACTTATATTTTTATTTCATACAGACGGCAAACATTAAATAATGTATTACATCCAATATATCGCAGAAGAACGTGAAACACTTGCGAAGTTAGCGAAACTTACTAACGATGAGGAAAACTGTTGGCGCAGAAAAGCATACGAACAAGCACACGATCGTTGGCGTAATGTACGCTTGAATTCACACCGTGTATTAATTAATTTGTTTTTACCAATATATATATATTGTTTAAAACAATTTTAATGTTCGCTGCAATTCGCTTGTTTATTTATAGGATCCGTTTCCGCCGTTATGTATCGGGCCGACCAGCCAAAAATAATTAAACGAAATATACACCGAATATGTCAATATACGTTTACACACCTCGCTAGTTTGCTAAGTACTAAAGTCGTATACTTCCATACAATTGCCCGATTCCAAGCCGTTTTCATTTCTTTTGCCTTGTGTTTGATGGCAACACTTATCCACAATTACCGGAGTTCCACTTCTTGATATTGTTCTGATACACCAATTGCCATGATGATACAGGTCCTCAGCTGCTCGAGAACAGTAGCGAATTCATTTGGAATTCACTCGTTTTCGTTAGCACGCACCAATTTAGATGAAGCTATTTGGCGTTTATCTCTAGTTAATAGCTGACTTATTTTACCTTCTGTACTTTTTGTTGTTACAACGTCAATGAGTGTCGTTTATTTCATTTTGTTTCTATTTAGCGTTTTACTAGCCTGCTACTAAAATATTATCCAGCGTTTGCTAATTCGTTTCAATTCAATACTTTCGTTTCCCATGCGTTTTCGCTACACCAACATTGTTCCAGTTTCAGTTCCAGTTTCCATTTGTCAAAGCATATTTCCATTCGCCAGCCTGCGCACGTTTTGACAGCGCAGCCACTCAGCTGGTTTGCTCGCCAGCCATTGAGACTCGTTATCCACAATTCACCCCCTTATCAACCCACTCCTATACCTTTGTAAACAGTGCCTCAGAACGTCTGGCTTTTGTTTGTATGCGTCGCTTTGACTATTTATTCACTCAAAATGATTGCATATGCACATATAGACGTTGTATTATTTCCATGAGCATGAGACAGCACAGGCTTTGTTGTGTTTATTATTATTTTTGCGTCGCTTTTGTTACTTCATGCTGTTGGTCGACAATCAGCTGTTTTCTTGTTTTCCGTTGTTTACATTTTCTTTGGAAATATACTCGCTGCTTTGTGCTTTGTGCTTTGTTTTCATTTATTTCACAGAACGATCTGTAACAGCGAGTTCCAACAGACTAAGGGCATGTTTACAAGCTTCCTAAGTATTTTAAATAAATTTGTATAAAATATAGTAGAGAAGTTCGGTTGAAATCAATATACCTAATATAAGTTCTAAAGTAGCCATTAAGGGCAGAGGTATGCTCTAGCACCCATATACACTACATAAACATTTTCGAACATCCGGTTGGCTTTATGCCGTATATAACGTTTAATATGTAAGGTATATTTTCAAAATTAGTGAATATCGGCTACATAATAGCTCAATGCTGAAAATGTAAAAAATCGGTCAACGAATTACTCAACTCTCATACCTATACTACATATAATGATTTTCGTTATTTTAGCAGCCTTTATGCTGAATTTAAGAGTGAGCTATCTTCATAAAATTGTTTGGAAACAATTTATCGGGTATACTTGAGTAATGTCAAAAATTAATACAGACAAGTCAAATTTGGTTTAGCGTTGAATATGAATGAAATTTAGGGTTAGATCGCCGAAATGGATGAAGTTAGTCTAGTTTCTAGACCTTTGTTCAAAAGTTCATAATCTTAAGAAAATGACTTCTGATTCTCTTGTTTACTTTTTCCTCATATACGCAATATTTTACACTACCCCAACTTAGCCCTTCCTTCTTTGTGCAAATTTAAAGAGATATTATATATTTGAGAATTAACACAAAAATAAGCAATCGTAAATTTTGCCGTAAAATACGAATGAAAGGAGGACTGAGCGCTAAGTTTGCTGAGAATAGTTGCTTTTATTGCTACTTCTAAAGAGACTTATACATAACAACATGCACATAAGCATACTCACAAATAATTTTGTAAACATTCTTGTATATAAATATGCACACGACTTACCTGTTCAATATCAAAATCCCATTCCGGCGAGGGTGAACGCATCGCACCTCCCGCAGGGGGTGTGCCCTGCGCCGGTGAACCTTGCGGTTCCTCGGGGATAACAGCGAAGCGACCACGATGCAAAATAGGCGAAATTGCACCATAATTAGCTGCAGAGAAATAGAGTAAATTTTAATTGCTTAAAATTTGAAACTGTGTTATAAATTTGAATTTTATATGGTAAGAGTTAAGTGATAGAAAGGTACCTCAGCCTAAAACAGTCATTAAGAACAGTAGTGATTATGTTTAGAACCATATGACCAAAAGTTAAAAGAAAACTTTTACGAAATTCAAGCATTTTCTCTTACAAAAAGTTGCTTCTCTCTTTTGAGACTAGACGGATAAATTCCAGCGCTCTAGAGTTAGTGTTAAACAGGATTCCTGAATAAAGCCTTTCAACTAAATAAGCTCGGCGTAAAGCCGATTTTATGGTCTTCTACTGGCTTTTTATGTAGCTAATGGGGTTACATACAGTTAGAATTTTCAAAAAATCGATTTATTTTATTTTTTGTCTTAATGTACATATATTTAATAATACACACAGAAAATTTCATATCGTACCGGTGAATATTTTCGAAGTTACACGCAAATTTGAAAAGGCGTTTCAGAGTGCTTGGAAGTACAAGGACGGAGCGGCAGCGCGTTTTTCTTAGAATGGTGTCAAAGTCGGTGACCAACATTACTCGAAAATGGCTGAACCGATTAGTCTCAAATTTTATCACGAGCTTTTTAAGAATATTTTTTAGTAATTAATCGACGATTTTTTCTCTCCGATAAATATTTTTGTTTTTATAAACAATTTATGGCCGAAATTTCGGTGAAAAATCGATTTTTTTTGAGAAACCGCCATTTTGTCAAAAAAAATTGTATTAGCTTATTTCTTCGATTAATTACTAGATTTAACATTACTTTAACGAAATCTGTTTGGTTTTTTTAATTTAATGATCCAGCTCAGAAGTATAGTAATCACCGCAAAACGTCTTTTTTGCGAGAAGCTCAGGGAGATCAGCTGTAGCTATTTTCCAAATAAATATTTTTACTAGTACTGAGTCTTAAAATAGAGTTAAAAGATAGCATAATATGTGTATAAATTTTTGGATCAATAAATTTAATAGTTTTCTCAGAAAAACTTCTGGAAAATTCAATTTTGATGACTTTTAAGGCTGTTCCTAATCGAAATACAACTGAACCCTTGCGTTGCAGCAGTCGCAATTAAAAAAATAAATATTAAATTAAAAAAATAAATATCCATTTAATTAACAATGCTTCTAAAGCGACATTTTATCTCGCTCTTCCACTATGTCCTCTAGTAGTTACTTTGCACTACATACAAATATACACATACATTTAATCATACTTACACGTAGGCATTAGACGAAATCGCCCGAAGGTCGTCTCTGGTGGTCCTTGTGCTGTCGTTGAGGTCACATGAAAGCGACCGCGTCTGGCGGCGGCCACCTCCTCGTAGCCATTGCCACCACCCGTACCGCCAGGCATTGCGTTACTGCAGCAGGTTCAGGCTGTAATTAAATACGCAAAAAGACATAACAATAAATATGCAGGTAAAACATGATAGGCGATTACACGCAACAGAGGCAGAACTTATTTCACTACATATGTATGTAAGTATACTTATTTAGTGTTTAGAGTACTAGATAGAAGTGACATGCTTATAGAAATACATGGGTTGGCGAGAGGCAAAAAGAAAAGAGAAAATATGCATAAATATGGATAATATGTTTAAAGTAAATTAATTGAGTTTGGAAGCAACTGCAATATGTTTAATCTAGCAGTTCTTTGTGGTCAAAGAGGAATGACAGATTACCTGTCAATAATGGTAGGCGCCTGTGTTGATGTCTTTAACAGAGAGAGCTCTTATCATCTTCTAAACATGTTCTCAGTAATTTCATAAATACTATAATGAAATTTAAATTGTTAGATCACGATAACGATGCTTTCACGAAGCTAATGAAACAAATCCAAAATATTGATGGAATCGTAACATGGCTTACATGGCATAGACATTATTTCGTAAATATCAGTTGTGTGTCTCCTATTATTACATATTATATTGAGTATCAATACTAAAAGATACTCTTAGATTGCCTCATTGTGCTCACAATTCGAAATGTGGACTCAAAACATAATTTTGAGTACATACTTTTCTTCGTTCAAATTTTAAACTTAGGTTTTTTTGGTGCCAAACGTTCGGATATAAAATATGGGTTTGTCAAATTTCGAAAACCCCTAATGATACACCCTGTAAGCGTTAGCAAAATAATACAACGCAGTAACACTAATGAAAGGACGCTTACATGTTGGCAAATATTTGTCGAGGCTTTTGTTTTGACTTCTTTGATGTTATCTAAATGTCTGAAGTATATTATAGTATATATAGAATCGGAACACGCAGTTTTGGCATTTTCTTATTATTAGCTATTTTTTTTTATAATTTTTTAAAATTTTTCATCAAGTCACGTTAGTCACGCATTCAGCGTTTTCCTTTCTCTTTACAAAATATTTCAAAAGGGCAAATGAAAACCACAATAAATAGTAAAATCTGCATAATATTGATATAATATAAATACTGAAGTACAATAAGACATCACAAAATCTGAATATATTTGGAGAAACTCTTATAGTATACCAAAACTTTAGCAATATGTAGCAGAAAGAATAGCATTAGCCACACCAACAATGTGGAGAAGACATGGCAACGCACCTAATGTACTTCAGACATGCGACTCAATTGATGTGATTATTTGTTGCTTTACTATGTGTGTTTGTAACATCGATTGAATTTTGTTAAGTAGAAACGGAAACGGCTAAACTATGTCAAGCAGATGAAACATAGAAATGTACAGCGGAAATTAAAGTGAAATTGCCGATAGAAATGTGTTCACCACAGACATTGCGGTTTAATTAGTTTCAGATCAGTGTACCACTGACAAAATGAAAATTACAAAAAGCAAAAGCTCAAGCTGAGAGTATGTGGTGTCACAGAGGAAATCATTCCCAGAAAGTACTTTCTTGGAAGCTTAAGCCAATACCTTTTGAAATGCAAGAATTCGACTGAAGATGTCGATTTGTATGTGTGTATGTTGTTGAGAGCTTACTAGGAAGTGAAGGAAGAATCCCAATTAGCCACTAGGAAGACGGTTAATCCACATACATATGCACAAATATTATTAAATAAGGATACCAGTAATCGAACAAGATTTTTTTTTTTTTGTTAAATACATCACTATCCTTATTACAGCGCACTGCAGTCCTCAAGTCTAGCTAAAAATGTAAGACATTACGCACGAAATAAAAGCAGTGGCGTCACATTTTTTATGCAACCGCAACCAAATCATTTTGCTGATGTCATTTGCCAACAGTTGGTAAACTTTTCCGAAGCGAAAATGCGTATAACTCACATAACAAACGTTATACGGACAATGATGCATGCCGCGCACACTCGCAATAAACAAGCGAAAAAAACGCAGAGCCAAATCTTGTGAATACGATGGATGCTCAAGCAATTCGTACTTTAATTCGTTGAATTTTGTCATTGTTAAAACACCTTTGTGAGCAGGTGCATCAAAAGGCTGCAATAATATTCAGAGTTGATTGTTTTACTTTTCTGCAGATAATTTCTTTTGCATCCCAAAAATCAACGCACTTTTGTGACCAATTTTTATAGGCTTCCGTAGGTCTTTTCATTGCTCTTGGTCGAAATTCCTCATCGAATGTCTTATATGAGCCTGGTTCAAAAAATAAAAGATTCAACTCTAAACTCTTTGTTGACATTTAGGCCAGTTGAAATAAAGTTTAAATTCAATCCATAATTGCTTGGATTCGAAAGATGGCAAAATATGTGAAATTTTGCTTTTTATAGCTACGAAAATCTAGCGCTTTAACGGTTTCGCACATTTCTGTTCTTTGAATTCTTATTGCGATTTTAAAAGTTTTTAATTTAATACAAATATTTGGATTACTTTCATTTTTTCATGTTAAACATAACAGCAAATATTTATTGATGGCTGCGAATAATGCTATTTCTTGGTGAGCACTACTCCCTTTTCAACCAACCTGTAC